GCCGTCTGCGAGACGTCTGCGGGGCCTTCCCGCCGCGCTTCGCCCCTCCCGCGAACCCTCCAGCCGCCCCGCGGGGCCGTGTGCCGCCAGGCGCTCCCGGGGCGCGCGGGACCCGCCGCCCGCGTTTGTGAGGTGGCGCCCATTGTGCGGCGCTCGGCGACGTCTCGCCGAGCAGCCGGGGAGGCCTCCGGCTTCAAGAACTACACCTTTCTAGGGTTTTCCTTCCAGTCTGAAACGGCAGAGCCGAACTTGTGTCAAGCAGTGAGCACACGGACAACTTTCCCTTCACGCAGCGCCCCTCACGGCTTCTCCAGCCTCAGTTTTGCAGTGACCATAGTCTGTCCTCAGGCCCAGCCAGCTGGGCGCTGGCCTCCTGCTGCTACCCTCTGGTCTCCAAAAGGGAGCTGGTGTGGTCTTGCTCCTTGGACACTGCTTGCTGGTGTCTGCAATTTAATCAAGTTTATTTTATACTCACAAAGTTTGGCTGTCCTGTCGCTTTTTGATTGCTTGTTTGTGCAAGTGCTGTTCTTTCTCTTCTTCTTGGGATCCCAATTCCTTCTCGTCCCCTTCTTGTGTGCTCTGTTCCTTCTCCAATTCTTCGTCAGCTTCCTGTTTCACATTGGTTGCCATCTTGAAAGAAGGTGTGGGGTTTTTTCCTGATTCTTTAGTACTCTCATTGTCCCTGGCTGCCCTCTCTTTAAAACTCAGACGTTTTATTATTAATAGTGCTGCTATAGTAGCAGCAGCAAGTGTGGTTATAGCTCCTGCTGCCGTTGCGATGATGACCGTGACATCCATATTTTCAAAGCCAGTGTCAAAGAAATTAGAAAGTACAGTATGGCCTCGACTTTTGTCTCTCTAAAGGATCTGGCTTCATTTCAGATTACACAGGTGACAGGTTATGCCCGGAGTTCATGCCACACTCTGTGCCCCAGCAAGATTCTGCTTCCCAGCAGGCAGTTCCAGAGCTGACTCAGGATTCCATGCTGCTGCCCCTCACAGAACCCTGGGGCCGCTGGATTCCACCACTGAACTGCCTCTTCTAGCCATCATCTTTAGAAGGATGATGATTCTGCATCATTTAGATTTGTTCCTGGATATCCCGAGATTCTCCAGGGACCATTTATTTAACTGATCCCATTTATTTATCCATGATGTCTATAAAAACTGAGGCATAAAGATTTTTCAATTAAAAGGATATTTATACATCAAAGTAGGAAAAAAGTTAATGCCAGGGAGTTATGTATCATATTCCCTAAAATTGATGGGACAACATGAAAGTATCTATTAGCTATGAACAGGACAGACTTTGGAGTTCCATGAGTGGAAGTTCTAGTTCTAGGCTTACCTTACTAGTTGCAGGACCTTTCACAAGTTAGTGAACTCTCCCAAGTATCAGGTTTAAAGTGTGGTAAAGGCGGGGTGTGGGAGTACAGGCCGGTAATCCTAGCACTTAGGAAGTTGAGGTAGGAGGATCATTGCAAGTTTAAGGCCAGCCTGGGCTGCAAAGTGAGCTCACTTTGAGGTCAGCCTGACTTAAATAGCGAGACCCTGTCTCAAAAAGAATAAAGTATATTAAGATGATAAATATATCCACAGGACTGTTTTTATAATTAAATAATGTAACCATAGCCACTATGTCCCTAACACTAGAGAAAACTTTTTTTATGACTACAAAAAAGGTGCCGAGTATGGTGGTGCAAGCCTATAATCCTGGCCACTTCGGAAGGCTAAGGCAGGAGGATCCCAAATTTGAAGCCTGGCCTAGGCAACTTAGTGAAATCAATAATAATAATCAAAAAGTCTGGTGTTAAAATGAAGTAAGATGGAGTTGTGTGCAAAGCACTCACTTTGGGAGGCTGTGATAGACTCACAATTTTCAGTCCGCTACAAAGTATTTTCCACTTCCTCTGATCATGTGGCTAAAGTCTCACTAATATGTGAATGTGATACATGCAACTTCCACCTCATCTAGTTAAAATTCCTTCCTCCTGCTCTATCATTCCTCTTTCTAGGCCTTGTAGTTTTTTACTATATAGATAGACATAATGCTGTCAGACAGTGATTCTTTACCTGAGGCCCCAGATCATCAAAGGATCCATAGATGGAATTAAGGGAGGGGGAGGTCTTGAATTAACCTTTAACTGAAATGTAGTATTTCTTTTGATTATGAATATAGGCACAGCTCAAGTAGTATTACTATCATTGATTCTTTCCATCCATGGAATTCAGGTATTTTCATACTACTTTATTATAATTGTTAGCTATATCTTTAAACATTGGCATATTAACTTTTTTGTTTTTATTTTTCTTGGTACCAGGGATTGAACTCAGGACCCTGTGCTTGCCAGGCAAGGGCTTATTCTACTGAGCTATCACCCTGGCCCCAAACTACTGTATTTCCAAGTCTTACAACTTCACCTTTATTTTCACCACCTTAGGCTATTAAAATATATTTGTGTGATGTAAGTCTTAAATAAGGCAATGACAATCAAAATGGAAAAAAGAAAAAAAAAAACCAAGAACTACTTAGGAGGTAGAATTTGTAAGAGTTGGTGACCTATTCACTATATAAACCAAGGTAGGAGGAAAGCAAGGCAGACTTCCAGGATTCTAGTTCCGGATGACTGGCTAAAGGGGTATGTACTATCATTAATCAAGATAAGGGAAAGAGAAACATGCCTAAAAATTAAGACAAGTGAGGTTATAGAAATACTGAGTTAGAGAAACCTCTGATACACGCCAAGAAAGAGGTCAAAGAGACAGGCAGAAACATACATCTAAAAATCAACAGGAATCTAGGTTAGAAAGAAATCTGAGTGTTAGTGGCATACAGATGGTATCTGAAACTTCAGAGAAGAAATAAGGTAGAGAACAAATATAACGTTAGAAGAGTGAGAACTGGGCCCTAGAAAATGTGAACATTTAAACAGGCAATGGGACAGAATTCCCTTTGAATTCGTATTTAGGTCAGGTATGAGGAATGAAGGTGTCAATTTATTTATATAGCATAATGCTTATATTTGAAAAAAGCCAACTATTTTGGAAATTTTAGTTTTGAGGATGTCAATGTCCTATCTTTTAAAACCATCAATCCTGAGTAGGAATATAAAACTTGAGAGCCCTGCCCTCTAAGTATTATTTTCATCTCCCCACCGATAAGCAAAACCTGAGAAAAAAATGGAAATTAATCAAATCAAAATAAATGTAGTATGAAGTACTTTCAAATTAAGAAGTTATATTGTCATAAGGAAGATTTTTTTTTTTTTTTTTTTTGCAGAACTAGGGATTGAACTCAAGTCCCTGAGCTTGCCAGGCAAGTGCTTATTCTACTGAGGTATCTCCTAGGCCCAGGAAAATGTATTTTAATAAACTAAATAAAAAGAGACTAAAAGAATGAAGTTCTGAAAGTGGAATTTTAGGTATTTGGGGAGATAGTTTTAGAGGAGGAAATTATGGCTTACACAAGACTAAAATGTAGACATAGGAATTTAAGATAAAACTGTATCAATTTTAAAGGGGTTGTGGCGATAGCTCAGTTGAATAAGCACTTGCCTGTCAAGTACAACGGCCTGAGTTCAATCCCCGGTTCTGCTAAAAGAAAGAAAAAAACAAACCTTGTATGCATTTTAAGTATATTTAGCTATTTTCCAGCATTGGTGTTAACCTTTAGCAAAACGTTTCCTTATGAAATCTGTATCTTGATTTTGCTCACTGTAAGTCACCTCTCATTAACAGTATTTTATATTACTGCAGAGTTTTAGCTCAGTCCAAGATAGTAATATTTTTCTTTTACCTATACATCTTCTAGACTTCACAGATTTTAGGTTAGCAATTTAAAACAGATTGCCCTCTACTTACACATTTCAGAATCTTAAAGAGTTCTTTTGCAAGAATAGTGGTACACACCATGATCCTATGTATTGAGTAACTTAGCAAGACACTGTCTCAAAATATGATTAGAAGGAGTGGGAATGGAGCTCAATATTCTCTGGAATAAACCTATAGTACCACTGATATAAAAAACTTATTAGTTGGGGCCGAGGAGATGGCTCAGTGGAATAAGCGCTTCCCTGGCAAGTGCAAGGGTCTGAGTTCAATCCCCGGTTCTGAAAAAACAAAACAAAACAAAACAAAACAAAAACCTTATTACCATTGCTTTGTACAATTTAAAATTTTTATACTATTTTCTTAATCTTTATATGACAAACTTTCGTCATTTTAAATTTCTTCCATGTGATAGTTTAGAAGTATTTTATATTTTGTTTCTGTAACCTGAGTTATGTTGAGCACTAAAACATGTTGAGTTTTCACATTATTTTCCCTCTTGAGATACTACTAGTATATTAAAAAGTCTATGTTGCATTTTTTTCTTTGAAATGTACTTTGCACCTGTACACCAGCAAGTGTGCCTACTCCACTACACTGACTTTCAGCCTCAATCTCTCTCCAGTTTATCCAACTAGCTTAACATTCTTTTACCCATTCAGAATTGGAAACATTAAGTATTTCAAATGTACTATCTTCTAAATATCTCTGAAAAAAGACACAGTCTTGCATAAAATCTTAGAGATGCTTGTATTTATTTCTCTACAGAGAAACATCTTTTGTTCCTCTCATGACAAAAATTTTGCTATCTTCTGTTAACTAATGAAGGATGGTAGAAAAAAGGGCTCATGTACAACAGTTTTAAACTTCCTTTTATTGTCAATATGGAATACAAAAACTAATTTTCAAGGGCATATTTTTTGTTCCAAGATAAATTCACACTTGGTAAGACTTTATTGTAAAGACAAACACTAACAGATAAGCCATTTTGTTTTTATTTTCCAACCAGTTTTACAGTATCACTAAAGTCATTATCAAATTTTAATGATCAGATCTATAATCTGTGCTTATCAAAAGCTATATGTCACTGTAAATACCATACATAATAATACCTGAGTTGTTCCAGAAAAAGCTTATTTATTCCTATAAAAATAATGATGACATCTCTTGATAAACTTTTAAGAAATATTTCTTGTATGATTTTTAGAAGATGGGAGAACATATGTGTATATATATATATTAAATGAAGAGCAATGTAAAAGAATACAATGCTTTCATTTCATATTTTAGCATTATATAATTTTATAACAAATGTAAGAAAATAAAAAAATAATTTTAAACAACATACACTACTTATAAGTAAAATGTCTCATTCCAATGAATTTAAGTGGGAAGAAAACAGTTATTTGATTTTAAATATTTAAACCCTTGAAGAAAGTTTATGCTTTATTGTAGAAGTAGCACTTTAAGATACACTGACAGTAATAACATCCTATCAAAATGTATATAAATGGCAGCATGTAATTTGTATATTTAACAGGTTAGATGTATGTTTTTCCACTTAATCTCCTGATGAACCACCTCCAATATCAATATTAAGAAATTCTTTAATTTTATCATATAACACCAACACCAAAGCACCTCCTGTGCCACGAAGAACATTAGAGAAGGCACCACGAAAAAATGCATTAATCCCCTCATGTTGGTATATCTTCACAAAGCAGTCTAAGGTTCCTTTATACTGCCGTTCAGCCTCACCACTCTATATAAAGAAAAAGTTTTATATTAACTTATATATTGACATAATGTATATTATGTAATAAATTATAACATTTATATATGTATATTATGCATTTATACAATTTATATAAATTAGCATTGATTTATATAAAAATTGAGTTTAATATTAGAAAAAATTAATAAACCTAGTTTTAGAAAGAATAACATAAAAAATCATTTATCTTAAGTAGTTTTCTATCAGTAGTAAAGATAAATAAGATTAATACTATTCTGAATTAAATACTGAATATTGTACCTTGTGCTCTGAGAATATTCATATATTTTGCAGGCATGTTTGGAAACTAACCTTAT